TTCCTTAGGCAATTAGAGCAGGGAAGAAAGAAGGAAAGTAAAAACATTCCTTTAAACCATCTGACGAAGTGTTTGCTGACCCATCACTCATTTAAAACCTAAAGGGAGAGACCAGAAATCAGAAACATGACCAGGCAAAATCAAAACCTGTAAGCAGAAGTCTATTGATGCAAAAGGGAAGAAAGACAGATATAGGAAAGAAAAGCCTGGTAGATTCCTTATTCCCTCCAAATTGGCACCAATTTTCTTTCCTAGGCCCCATAACCCCTATTATTTCTTTTTATTCCTCAAAATAACTTGGGATGTTATCAAATTATTTAAAAAATAATTTGTCACTAAATATTTTTCAATAATAGAAATGAATGATTACAGAAATTTTTATTTGGAAGATAAATATCAAGACTGCTCTAAAAAATATCAAGAGGGCTCACAAATTAAAGTTTTACATGTCATAATACTTTAGCCACACCATAAGTTAATTTTGCGCTGGTAACAATTCAATAATAGTTTTATTCATATTTACCTATTTTATTTATTAAATTAGGATAGATTTTTTACTATGATTACTGTAAGCTTCAGTTTCTATCTGCCAGAAACAACCAGAAAATTCAAATGATTGGAATTAGTTTTTTTCCTCTAAGTTTAATTACCTATTTAGATGAGAAAGAGACAATGAACAAGTAAGCAGGCAGCAAATACACACGCATTATTTAACTTAAATTACTTTTTTAGCTAAATCCTAGAACTGGCATATCTAATTTCTTCTGTAATCATGTTACCTGCAAGGGTACTTCAAAAAATTCATGGAAAAACAGGATTGAAAGATAGTATGAACCTTTCCATGAACTTTCTGAAGTACCCTCGTATTAAGTACTTCACTCTATTGTTTATTATTTTTTTCCAGAGTATGTCATTAACATAGCAATAAACCACTAAATATATGTTTTCTACTAACATTAAAAGGGGTTTATCACGATTACCCTAAAGTAAGTTTGGAATTAAAAATAATAAAGTTATTTTTAATAATAAAATAATAATTAAATTGATAGGGTAAATAGGAGTCAGCCAGGCACAATGTCACAGAAGAGAAAGTCCTCAGAGAAGCAACAGAGGTAAGACCTGAAGCAAAAGAAAGGACACCTAGAATGGCTAGAGGGGCACATGGCAGAAGATGAAGCTGAAGGTAGGTAACTAGATCAGGAAGAATTAATGAGCCATGGTAGGGAGTCGGCACTTTAGTGTAGGAGTAATGGAATTGTTTAAGAGTTTTACCCAAGAGACTCACATGATTAAACTTTTAAAGAGGTATCACTAGCTGGTGATGGCAGGGGCAAGAATCAATACAGGAAAAAAATTCTGGAAACCACTGCAGTGATCTGCAGATGATGATAGTGGCTTAAATGAAATGGTGGCAGTGAATGTGGGGAGAAGCACACACATTTTAGATAAAGGATGTGTGTGTGTGTGTGTGTGTGTGTGTGTGTGTGTGTGTGTGTATAAAAGACCATATACAATAAAAGCAATAACTATTTGATGAATGGATTGTTTTAGAAAGACGATGACTTCTAAAAGGCCTTATAAGGTTTTTTTTCCTTAATAAACTGAGCAAAGTAGCCAATCTTGCTCATGACTTTATAAAAATACAAAAAACAAAAACAAAATCCCCAAATATTAACTTTTCTGCTTTCACCCATGTACTCAAAAAAAAAAAGACTTTCCAGACAAATGATACTTATACCTTTAAAACAAATATTTTCATATCATCCATACCTCTTTGAAATACATAGTATATGGTTCCTTATTTTTATTAAAGAAAACATGTAAGATTCTGTGTTTTGCTTACTGTTCAAAATCATTATTAGGTTTCTTAAATCTTTCTTTCCTTATTAATTATGCCCTGATGATTTCTATGCAACTATTTCTTAAACAGTTAATACAATGTATGTTAAATAAAATGAAATTTTCTTCAGATTCTGGAAAGTACTAAGGAATATTTTTTCGAGATGTCTTTCTTTTAATCATCTTGAGATGATTATTTCTCTTCAACATGCTCCCTTTTTTCTGCAGAAGATCCTCTTTCCTACATCATCTAGGACAGTAGGTAGAAACCTCTCAATTTACTACTATTCTACCAACAAATCTGCATCACACTTCTCTTTTATTTCATCCAATTTTAGTGGAAAAGGTCCTCCTTCCTCGCTTCTTTTAGCTCAGTGGAAGAGTTTCTCCTATGGTTTGAATGCGTCCCTGGCAAAATTCATGTGTTGGAAATTTAATCCTCATTAAAATGGTATTAAGAGGTGGGACCTTTAAGACTAGGTGATTAGGTCATGAGGGCTCTGCCCTTGTGAATGGATTAATGGATTAATGCTGTTATTGAGGGAGTGGGTTAGTCTATCTTGGGAGTGGGCTCCTGATAAAAGGATGAGTTTTGCCCCTATTCCCTGTCTCCTGAACTCACTTCCACCTTCTGCCATGGGAGGACCCTTGCCAGATACTGGCACCATGCTCTTGGACTTCCCAATCCTAGAACCATGAGCTAAATAAACCTCTATTCTTTCTAAATTACCCAGTATGTAGTATTCTATGAAAGCAGCAGGAAACAGACTAAGACAGTGTCCTTCCTGAAAACTAAAGGAATGAAATCGCTCTACCCTTGTTCTAGATGACATTCCCTACACTTCCTCAGGTAATAAATATAACGGTGATTCCTGTTCCTATATTCTCAACCTCTCTATCACTGGTTCTTTTACATCAGCATATCCATTTTCATGTTTCTTCCATTTTAAAACCATCCTTTTTACCTTACTAACACTACCCAATTTCTCTCCTTCCCTTATTTAATTTAAAATGCATCATCAAAGGCTACTTATACAGCTCTGGTCATTTGATGGTCAGGTATATTTCATTGTCATATCCATTTTAAAAAGGAAAGAAAGACTCAGCAAGGTTAAATACTTTCCAAAGGCTATAACCTAGAAAGCAATAACAGAATTCAAGTTAAGATATTTTCATTTAAGGCTTTATTGGGCTTTGTAATATAAAACCTGATGCCATCAATGCCACTAAATGAAATAATTGACTTTTGTATGTTTGATTGTTTTCCTAAACAGTAATGTCATAGAGATTCAACCCACATTGCCTAAAGAAAAACATATGAATAATCAACAAACAAATTGTTCTTTAAAATACATGACAGTACTAATAAGACAGTATAAGTATGAGTTATAAAGTTAAAGGTAAGCAAAAATTTTTATCTTTAATGAATTGGACAAAAATGTTAAAAAATTTCCTAAAAGTATACTTGAAGAGTATGACAAAAAAACAAACAAACAACAACAACAAAAAAAAACACACTTTCTTTTGTAATTTTTAACCTGGTAAAAAGATATTATATAAATAAGGTTTTATTCATTTCTTTCTGATGATAGTTTAAAAACAACATAAATAATAAAGTATTACTTGTGTTTTATTTTATACTACAGAATAATAGGTACAAAAATGTAATTTATACAAAAGAGAGTAAAAGAACAATATGATAAAATATATTTTGTGCCTATTTAATTTATCTAAATTCAATTTCATGAGATAAAATAATAGTCTAAGGAATTAACACTATATTTTAGAAGAACAATTTAATTTTACATAATTCAATAACATAATAACTATTATTTTAACTATGTAATATTAAGAATTACAAAGGTTATTACTTGTATTCGATTATTCCTAGTTTGTTCAATTATATTTTTATTTTTTTAATACCTTTGCTATCCTTTCTGATTAACTTAGAACAAACGATTCCTTCAACAAAATTAAGTGCTTGATGTTAATACATATTTATCACTAAACTCTTTACTCTATCACTGTATTCTATAAACATTCACTGAGGGCCTACTGTGGGCCAGGAACTATGTCAGGAACTGAATGTAGAAAGATGGAAAATGAGTGACATAGCTGCTATTTGAGGTAATTCAAGGAGAATGTCAGTAGCACATGAAAGTCACAGGTGACCTCATTAAACTTCAGAAAGTGCATTCATTTAAATAAAAACACTTAACCCAGTTAACACATAGCATACGCAAATTGTATGCAAATACAATTTAATTATTACATATATTAATGACTAATGTGCATCTCAACATTTCTGTCTTTCTCAAAGGTCATAGACTCTAAAGCAACAAAATAAAAATTTTGATTATACCAAGGAATGCAACTATTTTTCTTTTCAAAAAATATAAATTAGCTACTTTTTTGTGTATATAAAGAAACTACTAATGTTGAAAAGTAAAGAAATATTTTCATATCTCTGCATGGTTAGGGATTTCAAACCCTGAAAAGTGGATATTGGGTTAAAGGACAACCTTTGCATGTTAAAAAATTATTAGATAGAGACTTCTGGAAAGATTTACTTCCCAGGGAATTAGGTGTAAATATTTCAAAGGGGAGTAAAACCTGGAGCTATATATTTATATTCCAAAGTCTTTGTTTATATTAGGGAGGTTTTCGTTCTCTCAGGAGGAGAAGAGGGCAGCAGTATAACACCTCCTATTGAAATGCCCAGATTCATAATTTCAGGGTTCCTTCCCTATGGTGTAAAGTCCCCCTTTGCTACTTACAGATACCACCATGTGGCTCTCAACACATCTCTGAAGGGAGATGGAGTGTGGGTAACTGGTACAGTTATTGCTCTAAGAAATAATAGTCTGTCCTAATCCAGAAACTTTGTATTTGTTTTCAGGAAAACATAGATTTCAAAAATCTTATGTTTTAAATTAGGGTTTAGGGGGAAAAAAGTATCCTTGAAGACAGAGCTTCATTATACTTATTTTCAGGCAGATCAAGTCACCCCAATAGTCAATAAATAATCTTATTTAGCGAAGACAATACACTCATCTTGTTTATCATTATGTCATAAGATTTCAATATAATAAAAAGTAGAAATAGATTAGAATAAATGTGTAAGGCAATCTATGTAAAACAAAAAAATAAAAATCACTTACTTGATATTATCAAGACAGCCTGATTCAGGTTTCAGTATGGCAGTATGATGAAACATTTTATATAAAGCAATCCCAAGGAAGATTACATTAAGCTGCAATGTAAAAGGTAGAGTTATGTAGCATAACTGGAGTAGAAAAAGAGCAAGTCTATCCTCTGTAATAGATGGCTTGTTCTAGGAAATTAGCTCTTATGACACTTTTAAAGGAATTGGATCATAGATGACTGCCTAGTATTTTAGTAAAGGCAAGAAGCCAGTTTGGGGAATAGGGATATCACTGAGTTACAAAGCATTTCTATGCCAAATACACACAAATACAAAATCAGCAGCAGTTGGTTGTGCCTTTTTCATGTAAAATCCTTTAAAATTTTAAAGTTTTTAAGATTTGTATGAAAACAAAATTGGAAGGAACAGTCAGGTGTTTTCCCACCTTTGTGCTTTTTATCCATTCCCAATTCAAATTTTCTAAAAGAAAAATAATGGAAATATACTGTTGTTGAACTTAAAGTCATCTCTGTTCAAATATCTACAAAACTAAATGGGTTATGCTGGATTGGACTCCTAGTTAGCCATAATATTGCATAAACTCTTGTAAATGCATGTTTTCTTCTTCCACTGGTTTTGATGAACTATTTTAAAATATAAAAGTAGACTATAATGAGTGTCTAATTGCTTGAGTTATGTAGGGTCAAACAAGTACAAGCTTTGCCCAAATTAACCTATGTAAATTAAAGGTAGTCATTACAGGAATAGTGAAAATTTTATTTCTTGACCTGGGAAACACATAGTTAATTAGGAGTTCTTACCATAATTATCAAAGTCGCTGGTCCTATAAAACTCCAAATGAAGTAAGTGTCAAGTCGGAGCCAACATCTGCAATGAAACACAAGGGAGAGAAGGCAGTCAAGGACTGGGTATGGGACATACATCAAGATTGAGTGAGTGACAGAGAAGAATGTGTGCTGCAAAGCATTCCACTGGGAGACAGGAAATATTACTTTGCTTGTTCATTTAAATGCTGAATTATGTGCCCAATTTCTGACAGCACTATTGATGGAGTAAGATAATTACCCCTGGAGGAAGGAGGAAAAATGGCATTGGGCCTATTTGCTAAAGCCTTTTGTGTCTGTTATAGAAACCTAAAAAAAAAAAAAAAAAAAAAAAAAAAAAAAAAAAAAAGAGAAAGCCATACACATTGCCATTAAATCGAGTAGCTTTAAGCTATCCTTTTCTCTCCAATTACGGTGCTACATAACCTGTCTATCAGCTGTCAGGTAAAGTGACATTTTCCTGTCAAGAAGATGTGAGGAAATTCAGTATAAAGAAGAAATAAATTTGGAATCAGAAGATTGAAGTTTAATTAGGTTGGGCAGTCAACCTTTGGAGAGTTCTGGAGTCTCAAGAAGTGCATTGTTTCTGCTCATACTTCTGGGGTTGCAAATGATCCTTAGCATCCCATGAAGTTGATTCATGACCCAAAAGTAAATTATTAATCACTTAATTTCAGCTACATTTAATACTCCCCCAATTCATAAAGGATCTGGGAAATTACATTTTCATTCTTCAGCATGACAGGAAGACAGAATTGGAAGTGACTAGTTTTGAGAAAGATGAATGTACATTTTGAACAAATTACATTTGCTGTTAAAAATAATATCTTGAATTATTTGCCATTTTTATATATTTGAGGCATAATTGAAAAGAAAACGTTCAGTGGCAAATATCATATGGCAAATATGTGGTCAAAACCAGTAAACCTTAAGTACTTAAATATTTTTGTGATTATAAATATGTTACTTAAACCTAACAAATAATGGAATACCACAAAAGCTATTAGGAAAGAAGTTTATAAATACCTATCAATAAAGGAATAGATAAATAAAATATTTTCTGTTCATTTAATGAAATGTTATACAATAGTTAAAAAAGAGGAAGTAGATCTATATGTGTCAATAGGATAGATAAAAAAAGTTGAATCAAAAAGTAAGGTAATCCATACCATATATATGTATTAAATATAAACATATTATGGTAAATGCATGTTATGCATATACACACACATATGTATTAAAAACCACACAGTTAAAATACTTTATGTTTTGACAGACAATATGCAATTTTTTCACATGTAAAGAAAACAAAAACAGTCACCAAACTCATGTTAGTGGTTACTGCTCACATAAGAATAAAGAGGACTAGAAGCGGACCAAATATGTTTTATTTTAATAATTACTGAAAGCAAATATGCAAAAATGCTAACAGTTTTAACATGTGAGTGTTGGAGGCAGTGATGTTTATTATGACTTTTTAACAACTTTTCTGTAACTTTTAAATTTTTCAAAAAAGCTTAAGATCTAGGTTTTTAAGCAAACACACACACACTTGCAAATTCCCTACAAAAAATCAATTTCAAAACAACAAAATCTGGTTCTTCTCTATTAAATTAAATACATGTAAACTAATTTCAATATAAGTACAATAAGCACTCCAATAAGAAAATGACTACAAGTTCACATTTTTTTACATTAGACAATTTATCTTTATTCAAAATAAACATCATAATTCTGTTTGAAAAATGCTATTACTGAAATAATCAATACTGAAGTTATTAGCCATTAGTGTGTTTATCCTTTTGTTGTGGTGGTGTTCAAACAACTCTAGTCATAGAAAATAGGAGTGTGGAGCTGCCCATAAACAGAAACAAACCAGAGAATTCAGGGTTGAACTGTGAACATTGTCTTCATTCTTACCATAGGCTAGTTTGTCACCACCCTAATAAAAGCATGTGTGTGTGTGCACATGAGACTTCAGCAGAAATTTCCACGGGTCTTTCTGGGTTCTCAACAAAGACCATATTTTCCCTCAGAGCAAAAACAATAAAGGACAAAGTATGGACATTTTCTCAGATTAGACCAGAAATACACACATACACACACGGAAACCAAAAATGTTGCTGAAATTATAGCAACATTATACAATACTAATAATAAATTTAAGAAAGACAGCTAAATACTACAGCCCCTGTTGTTCTGTAGGTCAAACAAGGTTTTGAGAGCTAAACTGAGAATTAAAACATATTTTTTCAATTTTTTCATAGGAAAATATGCTTCAAGATCTTCCAAAAATGTTACTTTACATGTTATGGACTTCTTACACAAATATATTTAATTACATTATTAGTGATTATATCATTAGTGATTGGACAAAGCGCATTTAAAAATTTTAAATAAACTCACCAATGTTCTGCTAAAATAAATATCATTAAATTTTAGCCTTTCAAAGCTTTCCTTTTTTTGAAAAATGGTCTTAGCTTAGCAAATACTTTATTTTGAAAAGTGGTTTTAGCATAGTAATCTCTAAATGTGAAAATGAAATTAAAAATTATGTTTATTCTTTAAAAAATTCTTTAATATCTATTTGGTAAAGTTGAATTAAATTCCCTTTGGAATTGAATAGTGAAAGAGGCAATATGAAATACTTAAAATGTACTAGGTAAATCATCCAGCCATGAGGGCTACCCAGACTTTACTGTCTTTTGGAAAGCTGTGTGGCAAGAATCCCTTTTCTAATTTGATTGCCATATGGCCACACCTGCTGTTGTTTTTGGCCACATGCTGGCTTTCTCAAAGCTTTCTGTATTTCTTCCCTTTCCCATTAAAAATTTGCATGATTCCTGTCCCAGTTCACTGTGCCAGTGTTGAGACAATGCACACTGATGTTAAGGTGAAGAACAGTATTATGTGGGGTGCATATATACATGCCTGGGCACATATATTCCCACCTCATAATATTCTATAAATCTGGCCATTCAACGTCATTTGGATGCAATGCAAAACCACTGACTAAGGGAAGACCAGGCCAGATTAGTGAGATAAATGCTAGAGGTACAATTTATCACACTAAACACAATTAAGTCCAGCTTGCAAATGGTCAGATAGACCTCCTATAGAAGAGTACAATTTATCTGAAAATTGCCTTTATCCACAAACCAACATTTAACTTGTGAAATGGGTAGGTTTTATAGGCCATTCTTATTTAATCTTTAAGATATCTAAATTTCTTTTTTTAAAAATGAAATTCAGTCATGTGTATTTATACATTATATATATACATATTATTTATATATTATACATATTATTTATATATTATATATAATATACATATTATACATAAACATACATTATGTTTGTAGAAATACTTCTATACCTTTATAGAAGAAACATAGAAGAAATACTAAAGAAGGGAAATTTTCTTTATGTTGCATAATATTTTTAAATAAAGCAACAATATATTGTTTCATATATATAATGAAATCTTACGGAATTAATGTGTTTATTAGTTTCAGCACTCTAAATAATTGGTGCTAATACTGAGGAATAAATTGTTATTCTTCTCCAGAATTATTCTATTCCAAAATATAAGAAACATCATTGTAAATTAATATATAAAGGTGTTGCTATTTGTATCACTTTTCCATAAAAATGCCAATTGCCCATGCAACAAGTACCATGTTCATGTTTCCTCAGAAAAGAGAAAAATAAAATGATGAGCCAAATTAATTTCTCAAAACAGGGCAAAATAATTTCTCGAAACAGGACAACAGGAAACCATACTTCTAAAGTTTATCCTTTTCTACTACTGAACTACTGCTCATCATGTTATTATTATGAGTCATTTTGAAGAGGCATGATTCTATATTTAGAAAAATGGTAAGGCCAATTACCCAACATACATAAATATCACCTAAAACATACGTTTTACAATGCTTTTAGATACCAAAAACACCACCAGAGTGTAGTTCCTCATTCAAAGTTAGTGTGTTGAATAGTGTCAATAAGATGCTTTGGTTTTGTTACTGGTTTAATTTATTCTTATCGAAGAATACACCTGTTAACCAAAGTTTTTTGAAGTAATGTAATTAGCAATGGTGTTTACTTCATTTTCTACATGACACTAAATTACAGACTAAACTATCCTTGGTAAGTATTAAATGTAACCAGTAAACATTCTTTGGCTACTATTTTACCATAAAATTTAAAGGCTTAATTATATCAGTTTATGAAAGTTTGTAAACTAATCCCCTTTTCTCTGTAACATATACTGTTATTTCTATATTTGCACCATATGAGATATCTATCTGGCAATATTGAGAGAGTGAGGAAGGAACAAATATAAATGGCAAGAAGAAAAAAAGAGAAGGGGAAGCGACAAATATGTATTTCAATCATAATAAATCTAGTCCTAAGCTTATTGCATAATACAAATTTGTTAAGGAATTTTTTAAATGCATTTTTCATCACAGCACATTCATACCTCTAATCTTGAATTACCCTGTGCTCAAGTACATGAATTAGAAAAAAAGGCTGGCATAGTGATGCAGGAATGAATTGAGATCGGTGGTAGTCAAGACTAGCATTTGTGGTTCAGCTACACTTTTGGATCTTAGAACTAAAAACCAATTCTAACAAATCAAACATAGGTTATACTGTATTCATGTCCATTAAAAAAAGGTTTTCACTATTTTTCCAGTGAAGTATGTACATTCTACATTCTTACGATGTGCTACAAAGGTAAGAATAGCACTAAATTATTATATAACAATTAGCACTAATTAATATATAACAATTTATTAATACTAATTGTTGGATTAATTCCCAAGGTCCCATCTTATTTAGGTTCATAGGAGGTGATACCATAAGAACTGTGATTACTACTGTAATAAAGGGAAGTTTTTCAATATAATTTATTTTATAATTAAAAACAATGTTGTGATCATAAAGTTTGTACTTCTTCATTTATATCAGCCAAATAAAAGTACCAATAATAATAATAGCTCCACTTAATAAATGCTTACATATGCCAGACAATTTACA